ATAAACTTGTTAATTTAGAGAATAGTCTTGTTTGATTTTAAGATTCTTATCTAATTAACTGGTAATTCGCCTAATCTCTATTAAATTGAGTATTTATTAAAGTGAAAAGAAAAAACAATAAACATGGTGGTATTTGACATGTAAAAAAAATTCAATTTGAAAAGAAATAAAGAGTTTAAAAATTTCCCCAAGGAAAATTCAAATTTAGGTTAATAATGTTTAAATTTAATTATTTTTTAAAACCGTTTTGAACCGGTTTAAAATATTTATAACGGTTCGGTTCGCTCTTTTTATAGTTTCTTTATAACGGTTCGGTTACGGTTCAGAAAATTATAACAGTTCATTCCGGTTTGGCGGTTCGGTTCGGTTCGAAACCCTGCGTTTTATTGTCAGGATTATTTGTTTGACATAATTCACAATTCTTACTGTGTAATTCGATATCTTCGTTAATATTCGGCCACCAAACGTTCTCTTGTGCCAATAATTTTGTTTTAGTATAACCCTGATGCCCCATATGTAAAAAAGACAAAATATTTACTTGTAATTTTTTTGGAATTATGGTTCTTAAGCCCCATAATATACACCCTGCCTCCATCGTGAGTTCATTTCGGCGCTGGAAAAACGGTTTAAGATTTTCCTCTATCATCTTTGGCCATCCAGTTGTAAGGTAACGTGAAACCTTTGATAATACCGGGTCATTTCTTGTGTGTGCTTTTATATCTAACGCTGAAATAAATTGTGGAGCATCCGATACTATTAAATTAATATCTAACTCTTCCCAAGCAGATGGTTTACCGTCAATTGGAAACCGGGAAAGCATATCCGCATTACTATTTTTTTTCGTCCCTCGAAGTTGCAATTCATAATCATAATTTGCTAGTAGTAATGACCATCTTACTAATCTTGATGACATATCTGTTATTCTTTTATGTGGATTAAGTAACGATATTAAAGGTTTATGGTCAGTAATGATAATGAAATGTCTGCCAATTAAATATTGTTTAAATTTAATTAATCCAAATATAATTGCTAAAGCCTCACGCTCTATCTGACTGTAATTTCGTTCGGCAGCATTTAATGTTCGAGACGCGTATCCAATCGGTTTTTCCTCGTTGTTAATGATATGAGATATAACTGATCCTATTCCATGTTGAGACGCATCAGCAGCTAGAATTATCGGTTTTTCCGGATTATAATGTGTTAAAATTGGTGCTTCTGATATTAATTTTTTAAATTTATTAATCACAATTGTTTCATTATTTGTCCATTTCCATGGCACATCTTTCCTTAAAAGCTAATGGAGCGGCAATAGTCGAAAAATTGTTTATAAATTTTTGATAATAATTTATTATACCGATAAAAGCTTGTAATTCTTTGACGTTTTTTGGTAATGGTGCGTCTAAAATTGCATTGACATTCTTATTTGTTGTCGTAATTCCCTCTTCGCTAACGGTATGACCTAAGAATTCAATCTTTTCTTTAAAAAATCACATTTTTTTAGATTTAATTTCATACCGTTTATTTCTAACGTCTTTAATACATTTATCAAATTTTTATCATGACTCTCAATTGATTCCCCCGTAATTATTATATCGTCCAAATATACCGCTACTCCAGGTAATCCCTTTAATAATGAATCCATTGCTTGTTGAAAATCGCTGGCGCTGAGGCTACCCCAAACGGAAGTCGTGTGAAACGATACAATCCACTAGGCGTGTTGATTACTAACAGCCTTTTTGCCTCCTCTTCTAGCTCTATTTGAAAATACGCTTCGGATAAATCTAATACTGTATATTTACACCCATTACCTAGTGTGGCTAATAATTCATTAATTCTGGGTAAAGGATATTTATCTATCAAAATATTTGCATTAACCGTTTGTCTGAAATCACCGCAAATTCGTAAAGATCCATCTTTCTTCAATACGGGTAAAATCGGAGAAGCGATATTCGAGTATTTTAGTCTTTCTAAAACTCCCATGGATTCTAGTCGTTGTAATTCCGTTTCGAGTTTTGCCTTCCACGCAAATGGTATCGGTCTACTTTTCATACATTGAAACTGTGGGTTAGATTTTACCGCTAAACTGGCCTTAAAATTTCTTAGTAAACCTAATTTTTTAGTGAATAATAAGGAAAATTTATGTACAATATTATCTTCCCAAACCCTATTAACTATATTACATTGATTTATTTTTATTAATTTTAATTTTTTTATTAGGTTTCTACCTATCAAGTTAATCCCATTGTTTACAATAATAAATTCATGATATATAACTTTATTCATATAATTAACGGGTAATATACACTTACCTTTAATATTGATCATTACATTATTATAAGATTTTAAAATAATATCCGTTTTTGTTACTGGTATTTTTAAACGGTAAACGTCTTCTATATTCAAAATGGAGACTGCCGATCCTGTGTCAATTAAAAATTTAATATAAATTTTATCTATCAATAATTTCACCTCAAATTTTTCTCGAGACTCCTCTGGAAATTCCCAATCCTCAAAACTTTCTCGCTCATTTTCTGGAACATCTATCGTTCGAATATATTCCTTCTTTCCACGATTCCTTCTGCATACTTTTTGTAAATGTCCTTTTATCCCACAATTATGGCAGATGGCATTCAAATTAGGGCACTTAGGTTTTATGTGATCTCCTAATCCGCAACAATAGCACATAATTTTTGGTACTGGTTTGTACTTGTCATACTGCTCCCTTGTTACTGTTTTTGAGATTTTATTTATCTCCTTCCCTGCAGATAATTTTTCATACGACATCATTTCTGTAGTCTCCATTGCGGTCGCGATTTGTATTGCAGTTTCCCATGTCAAGTCCTGCGTGTTAATTAATTTCATTAATATTTTTCCATTATTAATTCCTGACACTAATTTGTCCCGCAATACTGTATTATACATATCTTTAAATTCACACGTCTTTGCCTTTATCTTTAATTTATTAATATACTCTACGATGGTTTCATCTTTTTCTTGTTCCATTTTAAAAAAATAATATCTTTCTAATAGGAAGTTTGTCTTCTTAATATAATAATTTTTTAAAAGTTTAATTATGTCATCATATGATATTTCCTCTAATGTCTTTGGCAAACACAAATTAAATAATTTAGAATAAACCTCTAATCCAATATTCGCTAATAAAAATGATTTTTTATCTTCTATTTTTGCGATTTTAAATATGAATTCCATTTTTGATAAATAAACTTCCATATTGCACTCCTTTATATTATATTTCTCCATTTGAATCGACTGCGCCATTGTGATGAAATCAATTTTTATTATAAATTTAACAACTTTTTACCTTTTGTACCGCAGTATATATATATTTTACAAAACAAACAATTAATCGTCGTACACAATTAATAATATATATTTAAAATTCATCATATATTTAATTGCCTTTGAGGCTAATTGTTTCTATTACAGGTACAAATAATGAATGTGTTTGCAGCTACTACCAAAATTTTAAATTAATAATCATTGGATATAATTTACCCAATTTAACCAAAGATGATATGTTGCTCTTTAAAACATACAAACATATTTTACCCTTAATAATTTGTAATAAGCCTCAACCATCCTTTATATGGGCAAAATTAGAATTTTTCAAAGATTTTTAAATTTATATTATATCAATTATTCTTAATATTTAGGGCATATATATGAAATGCAGATTCTGATTCATATATTACTCTAAACTTGATTGAATTAATATTAATTAAATAAATTATATAGGAATATATAATAAGTTATAAAAAATGTTTTAAATTGATTCTCCTATCGATAAAAAATTTTCTATAATTGATTGAAACCCCCATATATTGTTATTTTCCCTTACAAGTGAATAATCCTTTTATCTCAAATAGTTCAAAAAAAATCATTAAAAACTGTAAAATATATAATTTTATTAAAAAACGTCCCCTTTCGGGAAATATTTCTACACTTTTATAAACATTTCTATCAAATTTAAGAATGAAGCTTGCCACGTCCCAGACCGATTTTATCTTATAAATATAAATGAAGAGTTATTTCATTTTTATAAAAATTGAAGGTAATTTTATTTCAAAAAATCGTTTTTAGGTTTGTTTTTATATATTAAATAAAATGGCAGGAAATTGGAAAAAAGCATAATCTTTGTATGTAATTTCGATATTAAATTTATTATTTACAATTATGTAGTTTTTAAGATATGCTTAATTAAAGGTAGATAATGGTAAAAATACGTGATTTTGTCAGTTTCAACCCTAACCAAAAATATATATTAGGAGGTTAAAATTTTGAAAATTTCTTAATTACATTAACCTTTCTTTACTCACCAAATTTTAAAAAAGTAGAAGAGGGTCAGTCAAATCGTGGCTGATTTGTCATGGAATGACTCACATAAAAGTGACCTAAAGTTGATTTTACTATTATAAAATTTTAAATTTATTGATATTTTTATTTTCATTTATTTTAAAATAAATATTAATGTTTCTTTTAAAATTTTGACCTACTGTAGAAGAATTGATACCAATATTAACATTTAAGTGGGATGCTAATATTGTGACCTTAAAGAAAATATCTGACCAGTTGATCTTAACAAAATTAATCAAATTAAGATCCATTTATAATTATTGTTTAATTATTCCAAAAAGTAATCATTCAAATATATAAAAAATGATGGTAAATGAATTTTATATTGTTCTATATTGTAAACACTAGCTTTTTTAAAATTGGAAAATCCAATTTCCCAATCAAAAAAATATGATTACATTCATAATTTTTATCTAAGCATAATGTTAAATTAAATATTTTATGAAACTTAAGGTTTGATTCATGTAAGCAAAAAATATAAATTTATAAAATAGCTCCAAGCAAACTACAAATTTTTTTTTTAAAAAAAAGATTCCAATTTCAACAAATTACAAATTTCAATTGGAATTATCTCTAAAAAAATTTTTTAACAAAATTGTATGAATAAATTTAAGAATAAATAATACTTTCCCAAATCCATACAGTTTTATCCCTACCACAGGTAGCTAAATAATTACCAGAAGGTGAGAAGCTGGCCGATTTCACTTCATTTTCATGACCCTCTTTATATATTTATTTGTCATAAATATTTTAAAATTATATAGCAATAGGTGCTAAAAAAAAGAAAAATTTTTTAATATAAAGGCAAAAAAAGATTAACTTCAATTTTTTTAAATACAATTAAATGAAGTTAAAAGGAGAGAAAGCACTAAAGATAGGGTTTTCCCACATCTTATTAAATCTCTTTAGGATCACTTATTTCCTTTGGTAATGTTAAAAAAAATAATTTTCTGTTTTTTATTATAAAAATGTTTTTCGGAAAAAAGAATCAATAAATCTTACTTATTTTTCTTTATTATTGTTTAGTAATATATTGTATGCATTTTTGGGAAAGAGGTGGAGGTAATGCAGAAGACGAAGTGATGAGGGAAATTTTTATTAATTTAAAATGATAATTATGAGAACAGAAACATTTCCAGGGTAAGTACTTTTGGCATTATCAAACCCACAGCAATAAAAATATATTAGTTTTAATTAATTTTTATAACCTAATGTAGCTAATGATTCGAATGATTCATTTGTCTTCTCCCATATACATGTGGTTGCATCAAAACTTACTGAAGCCAAAAGTTTACCATTTGGTGACCATGAAATAGATCTAATAGTTCGTGTGTGACCCTCATCCAAGCCTAATTTGCATCCCCAATTATTTTGATCTTTGAATGTATAAAAATATATATGTATTTAATGGCATTATACTTTCAATGCCCCATATTCTAATAATTTTATCTGTTCCACAAGACGCTAAATAATTTCCTGTTGGATCCCATGCAATATCCCAAACAGTATCTTGATGTCCAGTCAAGGTTTGCACCAATGTCAGCTCCAAATTTTTCATATTTTTACCATGCTTCAGAAAATGAATGAAGGGATTTTGTAAGTAAAATGATTTATCTTTCTTGTGCTAACCTTTGACCAACAACTATTTTTTGTTAAATATGTCATTGGATTGGTTATTTTATAATTTATACTATATCTAAGTTAATAGCAAGTTCTAGAAAACGTTAAAGCTTTTTAATGTAAAAGGGGTATATATTTAAGCATAGGCGTAGCTTAGATTTTCCAAAGGGGGGGGATTAAAAAATTACTGGGGGCTTCGCCCCCAGACCCCATTTTGGGCGGGCCTTTGTCTAACTGTTGCCCGGCCTTTGACTGGGTTACCTTAGTCTGTATACATAAAATATTTTTACAAGAAAGGAGGTTAATTTTAATAAAAAAAATAAGCCTGAAACCAATATGAAATATATTTTTATTAATTTATATAAAATATAATAAATTACTTGTATATACATTGATATAAAAGCATGGTAATCATTTATTCTAAACAAGTATATGGAATTTATTTATAAAAAGTAAGTAGACATAGTTGATATTCCTCTATTATATAGAAATAGTTACAATACTAGGTAAAATTCCACTTTTACAGACATATTTGGCGGTTAGAGAATATACAGTAAATATTTTAACAAATTTTACTAATCAATGCTCTTGACAATAAATCCATCTATTTATTTAAAAAAAAATAATATTAAAAATTAAATTTTATATTATTTATACAATGTCTTTTAAAAATATATCCTGATGCCCTTATCAATATTTTATAGTTTTCTATAAGATATATAATTCGCTATATTGGTAAAAATTACTTGATTGTCATATGATAATTGATAAAATTAGATATACTGCAGAGTTGTTAATCGCTACTTTTAAAAGTAGCGCGCTACCGCTATCGCTATTTGTCAAAAAAAGTAGCTCGTAATTAGCTGTTATTTTTCAAAAGTAGCTTTAGCTACTTTTTAAGCTACTTTTTATAAAAAAAATTTAGAAACAAATTTGTTTTATTTTTTTGCTTATAATATTATTGTATAATAAATATATAAAAATCAACATTTATAAATATTAAAATATAGTTAGTTTTGATTATAAAAAAATTTATTTAATAAAAATAAATATTTATGGTAATTTGTTGCATTTTATAAGTTTTTACCTAGTGTTATGTGTCCAACTATCTGCCGTGGTACATATATATGATATCTCTGATAACTCTACTATTAGAGCATCTTTCATCACTTTAAAGTTATCTGCTATTTTGCTCATTAGTGTCTGGCGACATAAAATTGTTGTACCAGGGTATAGAGTTTTAATCATCATGGTAAATGATTGATTATCAACCAAGGACATTGGCTGAACTGTATCAATTATAAAATCAACAATAACTTTATAAGCCAATTTTTGAGAAATATTGTCATTTGTATTATTAATTAATTTGGTTTGAATTGAAATAGTGTTTTTGGATGTAGAGTCTCCTATACCAAAATTATTTAGATGTTTCTCCATTTCCTTAAATCTATTGGTATGAACAGTCTTATAAAATAAAAACTATTAGAATGTAAAAATGACAATTTATTTTTTGGTGTTTATTGAGGTTAACTGGATTGATTTGAGGAAATATTTTTTTACATTTTAAACAAATAAATTTGAAGCCATTTTTATTTTTTATATTTATTTTTAAAAATTTTTTAAATCTAGGGAATAAGAAATTTGTATTATAGCAATTAAAAACATTTTATTCCCTGGTATTTCCCATTTCATTAATATCATTGTCTGAATCACTTTCAACGATTTGGATATCCATAGGCAATGAAATTTTAAATTATTAACCCGTGATTTAGGTTTATAATACAAATTAAAATATAAATTACAAATTGAAAATATAAATTACAAATTGAAAATATATTTCAATTTCAAAATTAAATATATTTTATAACTAATTTTATATAATAGAGTAAAATCAACTATATGTACTTACTTTTTATAAATAAATTTCTTATATTTATTTGGAATAAATTATTACCATGCTTTTATATTAAGGTATATACAATACAAGTAATTTATTATATTTTTATTTTATATAAACTAATAAAATATTTCATATTTGTTCTAGGCTTATTTTTTTATTAAAATTTGTAAAAATATTTTAAGCTGGCCAAAGGCCCGCCCAAAAGAGGGTCTGGGGGCGAAGCCCCCAGTAATTTTTTTATTCCCCCCCCCCCATTATGAAAATCCTGGCTACGCCTATGTCTGATATACTGTAAATTTCCGACATATAATATTCCACTGTTTGTATTGTGCTTTAATTTTTTTTATTTAATTTATGATCTAATTTTATCAAAAGTTTTATAATTATATTTTACTTTTATTAAGAAAATAAAATTAAAATTACTCACTTTATAAAAAATTATATTTGATATATTATATTATTTAGTAATTTTATGGATCCATTATTGAAGGAAACAAGTTAAATTTGAGTTTTAAATTAATTTTATTTCTTCTTTTAAAAATCAAATAATAATAAATAATAATATGTATAACAATCAACTGGTATATATAATAAAACTTTTCAATAGATTACAAATTAATACTCAGTTAACATTAAAATAAATTATTTCAACTGATCACAAATTTAAATTAACATTACAATAAATTATGTTAATTGAACACAATTAACAATTATTAATCATTATAAGCAATTCACTTTTGTCTTAAGACTTATCTTTGGCTTATATTCCATTTCTTAAAAAGCATTTTTGGTTCACTTTTTTTATATATAAATGCTTTTTTCCAAAAATGTATAAATTATGATGAATAGTTTTATAAAAAATATTAACTTTTACATTCTAAGATATATGCATAAATTTTTGGGGGTCAGAGGGTGAGGGGAGGACTAAGGGATTATTTTATATTGGCTTAAAATGATATTCACAAAAAGTGATAAATTTCTGAAGGGGGGGGGTAATTTCCCTTTGCCACCTCTCCCCCCTCTTGGCTACGACTAAATTTTTAAGGGAGTAATTTTTACAGAAGCTTACCCTGCATTCACAGTTAGCTCGAATTCGCGACGAAGTATACAAAGATTATTAAATTTATATTATATATTATACACTTCACCGCGAATTAACGCTAACTGTAAATGCAGGGTTTGGGGATATAGGAGTCGATAGATTCCTTTGCTGGTCAAATTCGGCGTTTTTCAAATTCATTTTAGAAAAAAAAATTGATAAACTATTATTCTAATTTATGACCACGAGATATAAAGAAAACCTTTTTCTATGGAAGACCAACAAATGCACCTAAAAAACAAATAAGAATTTAACTTTCATATTTTTGTACATAAATAAATTCTGGTAGTGAGTAGTGCATAATAGCAATGTCTGCATAATGGTGAAGGTGAGCATTTATCTCCATATATATTGATAGGCTTTCCTAGTGGGTAGAATGGAGGATAGGGGGATAAATCTTGGGCATGTTGCCTTCAACTTTTTCCCCACATGTGGACACTGTTCAGAATTATACAACTTGAAGAAAAACATTTTGAACCAATGGAAAATGATATATTGAAAATCTTAAGATAAAAATATTTAAATATATATAAGTATCTTTTAAGATAATATTAAATCTTTATTTATTGTTAAATATTAAATGTTTCTAAAGAATAAATTTAATAATCATAAAAAGTAAACGAACAAAAAATTAAAATAATTAAAAATTAAAAATTACTAAAAATAATAATGTAATACAATATCCAAAAATTTAACACTTGATAAAATATTATGATTTGATAGAAAAAAAACAATTTAATTTTGTTAATTAAAATAAACTGGTGATATTCACACCAATTAAATTATACACCCAATCCTAGATTCTTCAGACAAGGGAAATCAGAGATATTAAATCTTTATCATCAATTTATTTTCATTTTGCCGATAAGAAAATTTGTCTTATATAAAATTCCTTTCAAAATCAGCGACCTGACCTGCATGACATATATAAATGTCAAAACCTAAGAACCATAATTAAAGCTTAGAGCCTTTACACCCCCCTCCCTTCCGAAATGATTATAAATTTGTTTAATTTTCAATAAAAACATTATCAACCTACGCCTTTTTTCCTTGGTAGAAGTCACTACATATTTTTATCTCATTTGGTAGCTATAACCTTAATTAATTTTTATACATTCTGAAATGTCAAGAACATAACGAGTCTTAAGTAAACAGAATAGGAGCTTTCTACTTGGGGATATTTCATGAATATTGATGTTAATTTATCTTATTTTTTATACAATTTAAAAATATACAAAAGTTCATACAAAAATATTTTAAATTCATAGAACATACAGTACACATGCTGAAATATATTTCAAGCCAAATTAGATTTCCAAATTTAAAATGAATAAATTTTGAGAGATTTCGATATGCACATTAATTTCATTTCCAATATGACATATTTTTTTTTGATTCGACGCGGAAAATTCGGCGCACTGCAATTTAGCCCTAAAAATTTGCCTTTGCGGTAATTCAGCGTGACGACAATTAGGCGCAGCAGTTTTTTTGGGAACTTATATTAATTCTTCAAATTAAAAGAAATCCAAATAAAAAAAACATCAAAAAATTCTTAAAAAATTCTTAAAAAATTCTTAAAAAATTCTTAAAAAATTCTTAAAAAATTCTTAAATATTATATTATTTCTTCTTTTAAATTTATAATCGAGCATAATAAATTATCAACAAATTAATATTTTAAATATTTCTGCTTATTCTCTTTGAAAAAATGAAAATATTTTAAATGATTCTGAATATAACTTAGTTAGAGGCGTGAAATGAGTTGGTTTTTAAACAGTCCGCCAAAAAAAATTAAGACCCGCCCATGATTATTTTTAAAAAATATTTACCCTTGCTCGCCCATTTATTTAAATTTAAAGCCAGCCCGCTCATTTATAAAAATTATTTGATTGATTGATTTATTTATTTCTTTTATTTCTTTTATTTATATATAGTTTTACTTATAAAATGTCCAATATTGAATTAATTTTTAA